CATTTGTTTAACAAAAAATATCTGCATTCAGAATACAAGATATCTACGTCTTTGGTATATATGTATGTTGCGAGCTATCATTCATTTTTTTTTTCTTCATACAAATAATTAAAGGAAACTTCACCCCCAAGAACAAGTGCAGGCATACTGAAAGATGGGACGTATTCCTGCCTTTATAATGTACAATATTCCTTACATAAGAATACATGAGATATATAAATGAAGATATTCTTGGCATGATGTAATGAGTTTTAGCATGACATAGGTGAAGCCATTTTCTTGATAATGTACCAGGCAAACGTGTACATGTATCATGCACCAAACTTTAGTCGGAAATGATTTTAATTCAACAACAAAACCTTTACTTTTCAATGAGGGAAAATCATTGCTGAGAAGAACTATCTTTGGTGAAAAATATATAAATTGTAACTCATTTATTTAAAAGTAATAAAATATAGCAATAGACAAATCTGTTTCAGTTAAGCAAAACCATGACCCCAGAAGAGCATCGACTGATTTATGCAATTTGCGTTCTGATAATTGTAGTACAAAGGATAATGGCAGTTGAATGAAATACTTAATCACATCATACACCTCGGAAGGAAGTATCCATAAATTGAAATACATTTACTTGTTAAATGACTTTGCACAGTACGTTACGTTATCAAGAAAATGGTGATGCCCATGTCCTGCTGAGAAACTGTACATTATGCTAAGAATATCTTGCTTTATACATCTCTCATACCCTTTGGTAGGGAATCTTGAAGATTAAAAGGCAGTAATACAATAAATCTGTCAGAATAACTGAAGTTAATTCTTGGAGTGATATTTCCAATAAGCTTACACATTGGACTACACAGACTTTGCAACATAATACTCAGGAGTGACACAAAACATAAAAGCACATTCCTTTCACTATCCTCCATTCCCCAAATTTAAAATATTCATAGAAGTTAAACAAAGGTGATTTCTGGTGAGGACCCTATTTGCATGCTTCACAAAAAAGAGGAAAAACCTCTGAAAATGATATTAGTTATTAGTTAATAAATTTGCAAATTTAGCGTACCACTGGCAAGAGGGTTAGTCTGAAGAATCAGCTGCATTCTTAACTTTCTTAAATGTCATTTTGACAGCAGTGCAGCCACTCAATTCCATGTGCTATATAAATTTGTTTTAAATTGAAGTAAAATTTGTGCAAGTTCACTGATGAAATTCTTAAATACAATTAATCCCAACACCAATTTCCTGCCTGCATTTAATTATCAAAGGCTTATTTGGCAATTTATGAAAACAAACTTGTGCGAACAGAGTGCTAACATTTCTTACAATACCGTCTTCCTTATACAAAATTGATAGTAATTATTCCTCTATATCTTTATTTAATATTTCCCATCCATTGTAACTCAACAAAGGGTGAACAACACAATCAAATCTGCACTAAACATCTTGCAAATTTCTACATTTCATGTGTACAAAGCACAGACAATTACACATGTAAAAAACATTATTTTCATTTGTTAATTGATACACCACCATAAAACATCGTTGAATAACCTCTACTTCTTTTCCATTCCTTCTCCCGACATTCAAGATTGATCATCTTAACATGTACTTTACACTATGTTACAAACTTTGAATTCATTTCTCCATAGAATACATACATTGGCATAAAGAGTGTTTCTATACAGCATCTACCTACCCAGCCTGTGCCTCCAATTAATACATTGCCACAATCACCAGAGGCAATCACCAGAGGCAATCACTCAGAGGTATGAGACCCACTTTCAAGGGAAAAAAATGGATCAGCCCCAAATTACTCACAACAGTATTTTGAGATGCTGTCTTAATTAGCTTGCCAGGGATTTCAATGATTTTTTTTAAAACATTTTCCCTCCCCCCCCCCCCCTATTTCTGACAGCCCTGGATCTGCCACTGGAAAAAAAACCTTCATGGATTTCAGCCATGAAGGTAACTTGGTTATATTCTGACAAAGTTTTAACGGGCTAATTTCTTCATTTGCAGAACTCTAGCTCTTAGCAGTTTGATGATGATGTTTACTACATCCAAATGCTGAATAGCTGATAGATAGGAAGTTCATCCTTGTAAAAAATAAAGCAGCAATCGGTGGACGTACAGCTTTAAGTGAATTAAGTCCTATCCAAAGGACTTGGTAATCCCGAGTTATACATGTAAACCAATGGGTAATAGCACTTCGTAACTTTCAGATTTGGGGCAAATTTTTTCCACCGAGCAATTTAAATCCCCAAATTAACTTAAAATTTCCTCAAACACTTTGAGCCTGCCGGGCTGGGTGTAACAAGCTGGATAGAAACACTTAAAAAAACTCACTGTACAATGACATCGGATATATAATCATCACAATATACAAAATGCATGTATACTTTTGAATACTACTCTCCACACTAGAAAGACCTTAATTTCTTTTCTTGTTTTCACTTTGGCACTACCATTGATGACAAGTTGATGAATAAATCTTTGTTAGATTACGAACACATAATGCTTATGAGCTACCACATTGCAAAATTTCCATGAATTCAGTCACACGGAAGGAATACACATACATGATTTGAACTATTACAAATATTAAAACAAGATGAAGACTTACAATACATGAGTTGCAATTACATGTACATTATTCATTATTCTGCATAAATACACCAAAACAGGACATCATAAGTATTCATTTTTTTGGTCCTTCCACCTCAATGAAATGATCTTTTAAAGATATATTATCATACTTCAATATTTATGAGGGAATGGGAAAGATTGGTCTACACAAAGAAAAATAGGAGATAACAGAACAATGGAATGAAATCCTAGAGTAAAAAAAACAACACTTCCACAGTGTAAAATCTGAACTGCTATTATACACATCGACAATCCAAGCACCTTTTAAAAATGAACATTTCTACATTAATGTGTCGGTTATGAACATATGGCGTCTTTAAAAGAAAAAAAACATACAATGGCAATCACACTTTCAGAGAATTCTTTTAGAACATATACAAAACTAAAAATAATACTGAACCCACATTCTCACTCAATCCATTTATAAATAGAAGAATTGCATTTAACCAACACAAGAAAGCAAGCACAAGAGAAAATCAGACGTTAAAAAAATAGTCTGGCATTGCGAGGGAAAGAATGGTAAGACATATTGCTAAGCTACAGATACTCTGTTTGACCTAAAAGAAAGTTATATTGCAACTAGTTCTACACAAAAGAATCTTGCATACATTGAAGAGCAATTCTACAAGGTTTCATTTTCAATAAAGTTCCGGCCTTGGGCCATATAAGTACCGAGAAAACAAAAATATGAAATTGCCTGTTGCATCTTAATAAACAAACACAAGGCATCAACAATAACATGAAATGCATTTTTTTTCTGGCAATATGTGTGTATTCGGTGACCTTAAGGTATTCCCAGAAAGAGCTTACAGGTATATCTATTTTTCCTTTTTCTTTCTTCTGACGATAATAATAGACCAGTTCCCATATGATTTCAACTTTAAGTATACTTATTCCTCAAATAGCATGTGACATGGTATTGCATTCTTTTTAAAATGTATTTTAACAGCGAGAATGTAGACCCCAAATTGTATTTAATGAGCTAGAAATTTTGTCTAAACTGTGTTTTAAAGGCCCAGGAGAAAGAAAGTTACATTGCTGACACACATCGAGTGAGCTTTTGGGTCATTACAAGGACCCCCACAAAAATGCAATGAATACATGTGAATTTGTGAACTGGTCTATGTCTACAATTGGCACAGAAAAAGAATTCTCAAACCTCAGGGGCCCCGTTTCATAAAACGTTTTATCTATAACAAATGCTAAATTTCTATGACAAATTTGCTCTAAGCCAATCAAATGCGAGGATTTCAGTAGCTTATAACAACTATCGTAACTTGTTATCGATAACCAGTTTTATGAAACAGGGCCCCGATACCGACTTCAAGATGACACAAATAAAAGATAATGATTGTCTGAAAGGGCTGCATATTACACTGGGTGAAGTTACGTTGAAATCGTGCTTCACCGTAAGACACACACAAACCAACAAAATATAGTCTACTTCAGCAATTGAATACATACCTTTAGGCAAGACAAATATGAATTACTACCATGATAAAAACAAAAAACAAGTCACATCATCCCAATAATATAGAATCTCTAAAAACTGTATAAAAAAGACAAAAATACAAGGTTTAGTGATCATGACATTAGTCTGACTAAATATGATCAGAATTACAAAGTTTGGTTTATTCTTGTGGCAAAAATTACATCATCATAAAAACAGCTGCGATTAAATCATCTCTTTTTGGTGGATTCGATCATCTTATATTGGAATCATTCAACTATACTTCTCTACACTCTCATAATGCTGATAAAACGTTATTGCAAGGTTGAGTTGCGCTACAGAAACCTCCCATCAAATCGTTCGTTATCTGTTCAAGCTGTCCGTTCATGGGCAGACTTTTATTGGAGTTGAAGAATTATGAACTATGGCACGTAATTACGATGGCACTACAGTGTAGGGTCAGGGTTTGTTCATATGAACAGAGGACCATTGAAATTTATACTGTACACTTCCCTTCTCCCAAAGAACTGATATCCCCTTCTCCCTCTCTCTCTCTCTCTCTCTCTCCCACTCTCTCTTTCTCTACCCCACTTTCTCTCTCTCTCTCTCTCTCTGCTGCTCTTTCTTTATTGACGTTCTCCATCCCATCTATCTCCTTATCTTGTCTTCACTTATCAACTCTTTCTTTTACTCCCTGATATTCTTTGCACGAACGAACGAACAACCTCTTTCTTTCTTTCTCTGTTCCTTTCTTCTTCTCTCTCTCTCACTCCTCTAATCATCTCTCCATACCCCTGTCCTCCATCTCCACCTCTGTCTCTCTCTATCTCTCTCTCTTTCTCATCAAAATAACACACAGTGGTCCTAACATCACCCATCCCCTGGGTTGTTCAACGTTTCAGAACAAAATATGAATTATTTTAAAAAAATGGTAACATACCAGGCAAGATGCGAGCTATCAACCTCTACATATTTTCAGCAAAGTCCTGTACTTACTTAAAGTTCTTGAACCCTTCAACCAATCCCCAATAACCCATAGGATATGATTTGATTTTTCATTGACTCCAGCCTCCCTAATTCTCTTGGACTTTAAGTGTTTAATGGGTTATTTCATATGTAAATGTGGCAGTATTATTGTGTGCATAGCATATGGTTCAGAGTGACAACTTGACATATTGGCTGATCAATTGTCTCTCTTCTGTATTCCTTGCAACTTGAGTATCGATGTGTTAAGAAATTATAATTGTAACAAGTCCTGCAGGCCTAAAGGGATCAAGTGCCTTCGTAGAGCCAAAAAGGGTTCATTGAATCAGTTATGTTTATTACCGGGGTAATAGTATATTTGTAAAGCGCTTAGAGACATTTGTATAAAAGCTAGATATGATTATATTAATAATAAGGGACATCATCTGCATGAAAATATTAATCTGCCAGAGATATTTGACAGAATTTGTTTTCTTTCCAATTAAACAAAGGGTGTGTTTCCTCTGTCAATCTATTGGGGCTCTGTTTGATTGTGAAGTAAAGTGGCAAACTGCAACCTCTCTTGTATGGATCCTTGCTTCTTCTTGGTGTCCATATGGAACCATTATTTACATGGCATGTAAATCCAGTCTTCACCTTCTGACACAGAGCAAACACAAGAACTACAAACATCCAAAGGCAGTGAATACATATGTGAAAGGGTTCAACCCTCATCAGAGTAATAGCATGTTTTGCGGTGGTGGAGCTTTCTCACTCCCGGGCAGGGAAGGATTGCCCACGAACTGATGTTTCTGAAGGTGCTTCTGCAGGGCGCTGTTCACAATGAACGACTTGCCGCACACGGGGCATTGGTGGGGTCGGAACTCCGTATGGATCCGTTCATGCATGTTCCTGGCACTACACTGGGAGAAGCGCTTGCTACAGAAGCGGCAAGGATAAGGCTGCTCACCGATGTGCGTGCGGACATGGATCTGCAAGTAGCGACTCTGTGTGAAAGTCCTTCCACATATGTTGCAGATGAAGGGTCGTATACCATGCACTTTCTCATGGTGGGCAAGTGCAGCTGTGTCGTCAAAGCGCATGCTGCAGAACCTACAGTTGTACAGTGGACGCAAGGCAGAGTTGGACTGGTCCATTAATAGATTCTGCGCATTGTAATTTGGAATGGTATCATATGGAACGTTTGAACTAGGCGTTGGCATTTGATCTACAGGGGACAGGGGGCTCAGTTTGTAGTCCCCATTTCTTACATGTATTCTCTCGTGAACATTACGAGAGCTCCCTTGGGTAAAACGCTTGGAACAGTACCGACACTGGTATGGTTTTTCGCCCGTGTGCGTGCGTTCGTGAATCTGCAGATATCGGCCTTTGCTGAAAGCCTTCCCGCAAAAACCGCAGATATGATCCCTTGGCCGCATGTGCGTCTGCTCATGGCTGACCAGCAAGGCAGCATCAGTGAAGGTTTTATTGCAATAACGACAGCTTTGGATAGCTTGACGCACTGGAAGATTTGGCACAGTGGAATTTTCGCTATTCGTTTCTGGAGCCTTCTCGCCTTCCTTCTCTCCATGTGCTATCTCTGCAGCTTCGTTCTCTAAGGCTTCCTGCGCTTGCTTGCAATTCTGTTCAGCTTCTTTGGCTGCTTTAATCCTTTCATGGATCCTCTCATGCGCATTCCTAGAACTGGTTTGACTGAAGGTCTTCCCGCAGTACTTACAAGAGTAGGGTTTCTCCCCGGTGTGGATCCGGACATGGATCTCCAGGTAGCTCCTGTGCGTGAAACGTTTGCTGCATATGTCGCATGAGAAGGGGCGCAGCACATGGGACTGCTGATGTTGTTGCAGTTCTGAGGAAGACGCAAAAACCTCAGGACATTGCCTACACGGGAATACTTGCCGCTGCTGCATCGGGGCAGGATGAATTGGCTGCTGCATAAGCATAGCTGGGAGGCCATTTCCCCCATGCATGCCACTGCACTCATGCCGAAGCAAGTCTCTGCTTCGTTTGAAGCTTAGACTGCACTTCTTGCAGTCATACATACCCCAGTTGCCATGCTTCTGTTCATGGACATTACGGGATGTCATCTGGTTGAAGCGTTTCCCGCAAACTCTACATGGATAAGGCTTCTCACCAGTATGCAAACGTTCATGCACACGCAAGTATGCCTTCTGATTGAAACCTCGTCCACAAACACCACAGATGTAGGGTTTTAGAGAGCTATGAGTAAGCTCGTGTTGCATCAACTGACTTGCAAAGAGGAAGCATTTGCCACAGAACCTGCACTGGAATGGCTTGGAGTCACTGTGGATGCGCTTGTGAGTTCGGAGATGACTGCCATCTCTGAACCTCATCCCACAAGTCGGCACGTCACACATGAAAGGTTTGATCCTGGTGTGGGTCCTTTCATGGGTGTTGCGCGCACTCCCTTGCGTGAAGGACTTATCGCAGAAGCGACAGCTGTAGGGTTTCTCTCCCGTGTGGATGCGTATATGCGTGCGCAAGTACTCTTTATGGCTGAAACGTTTGCCGCAAACATTGCAGAGGAATGGCTTGTTGACATCCACGTTATTTTGGTTGTTTCCGTTTTCAGCCATTCTTGAGCCCTGCATACAGGCATGCCCTTCAAGATCTTCCTTTGTTGGGAACAGATCGCCACACAACTCACACTTCTGTCCATCTACAACACTATGCGTGATCATGTGAGCATTGTAGACCAGTTCAAGAGCAAACTGCTGTCCACACACGCCGCATACATACGCTTTCCCACCTCCTGCTGCATCTTCTAAACCACCCTTGTTAGGTCCCTCAATCTCCGCCCAAACATTGTCTCCATTACTACGTTCATACTCCTCGTACCTTTGCAAATTTAGATCCATCATTGGCTCGCCATTGCTCATGACATAACCACCCATCCTCTCACTCTCTTCATCTGACCTTTGACCTACTGTATCATAATACTCTGACCCTTGACCTCCATTCTCATAACCTGGGGAGCTCTCACTCATCTGTGCTTGCTCTACGGGATTCTCTCCTCCGTTCTCATACGAACTCTCACCTGTAACCTCTGAACCCTGACCTCTTAACTCTGAATCCCCATCTCTAGCCTCGGAACCATGACTGCCGAAGTCTGACCTTTGACCTGTGAAAGCCTCGTTGTTGGAAAACCGTGTCATGGCTTCAGCTTCGGCCACCATGGCAGCAAGGGTCTGTCTGTCGATGCTCTTGACCACATGATGACTGGTGGAAGATCCTTTCATGACTTTGTTGTGGGAGTAACGAAGATGTCGGGCAAGGTAGATGGCAATGGTGAACAGTCGACCGCAGAACTCACACTTGTATGTTCCAGATTCTGTAAAAGCAAATTTTTGGGACAGCTAGTATCAGTATGTTTGCTCAGTATTTTAGTATTTGATGCCCAAGTCTTCAACCTCACACAGTTCTCACATCAATAGAATACATGACCCAACAAAGCACATGGCACAATCTCACAATATCTGACTAATATAGTCAGACATATTGCAAGAATGGGATCATAGCATTATTTCTCTGAGCTTCACTCCAATGATCTTTCACCTTCTACCCTGTAAATACTGTGATAAACTCTCAATCAGATATGATGAAATCTCTCGCGAGATTCTCAAAAATTTAAACAGTACCAGCATTTCAATGTCAGTTCTACTGGCCTCAGAGACTTTGACTTTTGACCTATGAAGGTCAATGAAAAAAGTGCCCTATGCATACTAGTAGCTTTCTTTGTTATCCTCTAGAGGGGTTCTAATGGAAAATACTACAAACTGAATCAAATGCAAAATAGATTTGCAGACTTTCATCTTCGACCTAAAAGTGAATTAGCTCATTTTCCTTCTTTGATTTGCACTTGCACAATGTTTGAAATTCGTTCCTGCAATAAAGACTATTTTCTTAATGTAATCAAATTTAATGCACAAATCATTGTCAAGTGCCTCAATCGTTACAATTGATTTCATCAACCTGTTATGAATAATTATATTTCAATAGTCAGAATGTGAATTGCATACATTAGGTGTTGTTAGGTAGGACAATCCATAATGCGTGTCCTACCTAGCAACAATCAATGTATGCAATTTGCATTCTGACTTTTGAAATACAATTATTTGTAACAGGTGAATGAAACCATTTGTAACGAGGCACTTAACAAAGAGATTAGATGCAATATAATTGATTACATTACGAAAATGACCAATTGGTCTGGAAGTATTGTTATTAGGAAATGGAGGAGACAATCTGACCAGCTAAAAACACAATGACTGAAATTCAAACTCAAACCAGGGTCCACGCCTCTGATTTCTCACTTTTGGCTAAAAGGGTCCATAACACAAAGGGAAAAAATCAATAAATATCGTTTAGCTTTTGAAAAAATGGAGGCAAAAACATGTTTGTCTTTGGTTGTACTTTGACAGTTTTGTTCATGTTCTTTTTCACCTTTTTGGCCAACCAAAGTAAATTGGTAGCTTATAGACTATGGTTTAGTTTTCGACCACCTTTGTGAAATCAGGCCTATTGCAGACCTGCCAACCACTGGAATTCAAAAACTGTATTCTTTAATCCCAAAAGTTGTATTTTACTGACAAAAGTTGTATTCTTAAAAATAAACAGGGACTGTTACGCGGATCAATGCCTCTTACAGTTCCTACATACAGGAAGAATTTTTCTATGGATCATTGGTTAAATATGCATGATTTTGTCACATCTTTTGTATTTGATGAACCAATGAACATCCCAAAATTGTTGATGTGATACTTGAAAGGACAGAATGGGCATTTTGCTATTGAAAATGGCACATACACACAGAATTTTTTTTTTTTTTTTTTTTTTTTTTAAATCATATTTTATTGAGGAAAATCGTACTATCGTATTTGCTTCTAAAAATTGTACGAAATACGACTAAATCGTACTGGTTGGCAGGTCTGCTAATGACTCCTGCAACATCTTCAGAGGTATTCACGCATACACATCGCTCTTGTATCTGACTCAGGGAAAAAAAATACATGGGGCTCAGGGCGAATTAGCCCCCAAAATGCCCAAAAGAGCCCCTGAAAGTAAAAAAAGAGCCCACAAAATTTGCATAGAGTTCGACGCAAAACAAATTAAAGAGTGTTATTTTCGTGCAAGCAAGCTTGAAAAGTAGCCCCCCAAATTTTTTGAATAATTTTTTCCTTGATCTGACTTACTCGAGTCATACATAAGGCTGGCCAGCTCGGAAACAACGTCCAGCTTCTTGGCGAATTCCTCCCCGTAGTAGACCAAGAGCTCCGTGGCAGGCTCGATGGCTTTGCAGGTGTGGTAGTAGATCTCCCCAAGGTGCTGGAAGGCGACCAGGTTCTGCTCGGACAAGTTGCGCGCGCAGTTGACGAAGCGGAGCCAGTTGCCCTTCCTCTCATTCTTCCCGTCGATGCAGTGGATCACCTTGCCCTGGACACAGATCTGAAAGATGTCAACACAAACAAACTGTAAGGTTTATTGTTGAACTTTCCATCGGTATGCCCCAACATAATCATCACATGCCTTGTTTTACGTTCAATTTACTCGTTTACATGCATTGCATATGACAACCTGTACAAGTTCTTGTGCAAATTAATAATAATACCCTATACTAGACTTCTCATGTCAATAATTCCGTGAAATATCGCCATCCATCAAGCACGATCTACAGAGAAAGCATCATAGTCAAAGCCATTGATCAAACAGATCCTAAAGATGAAGTAAACCATCATGCAGAGTCAACTCCCTGCCTTACGCCCAAACTCTCCCACAGTAACATGTCCCTTTCAAAGCAGATTCTATCTATAAGATATCCAAATATGACCCATGCACAAAGTTTAATCGCCCTCAATTCCCCTAATTTCCCTACGACAGAACATCAAACTAACATCGTCCACCCCTAAGTGTTGCAGAGAATAAATGGTTATTGAAAAAAGACTGACACCAAGAGGTGACGTAGCCTGAAATTTGGACTCTCTGCAACCTTCTTCCTTGAAGAAATATTCCTCAAGACTTTGTAGAATTCTGGTAAAAAAATGATGAGTATATAAAGTTAATTTCATTGAATATCCCAGGAAGACCCTCGTTAGTATTAATAATATTCTCCATGAGGACCCTGTAATGAAATAATCAGCCCGGCTTTAGTCGAACTACCATGATAAGGCACTCAAGCATTCAAGGAATGAAGCTAGAGGATTCTTGAAGATCAAGCACCCGAGATACCATTACACAACACCAAATATTTAGACATTAAAGCACATAAGAACGTGTATGCTAGTATTTAATCTAACAGGATGTCAGGTAGGTGCCTAAAAAGTTAATGGTTTAAAGGATTAAAAAGTTACATATTTCTTGTTAATTCTTTGCTGCGAGAACCGTGTTGTTCCTGTACTAAACCAATGGGAATGACAGAATTTAGTAATCAAAGGGTTAAAAGCATAGCAGGCCTACCTCCCAGGCAAATCCACTCCAGTAGCCGGCATCATTGCTCACAATCTCCCCTGCATAGGGACCGAAGCGTACCCCTTTGGGGATGTGTTTCTCGGCCCACACCCCTTCCCCGCACCCCTCCACACCCGACTGACGGATGGAGAGGAAATCAGGGAGGGTCAATCTGGCCCTGTTTTCGCACTCCCCAGGGACCGGTTTGTCTTCGATGATGGTGAAGGGGTGCAGAGGACACTCCCCTTCATAACGCTCCTTGCATTCCTCACAATCTAGACAGCAACAAGAAAAAAAGAGAACAAGGGAGGATAAAAAAGAAGATAACAATTGTAAGTAAAGAAAACACAGCACAACAGAAGCTTCATGCTGTGGAATTCGGATTTAAAAAACTAAAAATTTGCAATTGGGCAAGTTTCAACTTAAGCAAAAGCTGTTATCATTAACAGCGCATGAAAGTTTAGCGTCTGAAAAAATTCTGGCTTTACAGGATCCTTATTTATTGTAAAATGAATCGCTGAATGAGATAGAAATGAAATTTTGACGATGGCAAAATTTTTATCGTAAAAAGTCTACCTCTTAGGATTTTCAGATGAGAGTCTCTCAATTCCTCACTTTCATTGATTTGTTATGACAATCTATATTTTAGGTCCTTGATTATCCTCGAGGGCCCTGCCTTCATATTAGTACCCTAGCTTAAGCACAGCTATCATGAACAAGGCGCACAAGCATTTTCTGAATTTTCTGAATTTTCTGAATTTTCCTCCTACCGGGCATTCATTTACTACACCTGGCTGAAGAGTGGCAAAAAGGAGATTGATATCTTGCCAAAGGCTACAAGTGCCACAGCGGGACTTGAACCACAAACCAGATGATTCACAGTCCAGCCACATATCCACTAGACCACGGCACCTCTTCCCTCTAACAAAAACAGATTACAAGAATGCATGAACACAATATGGAATTACCCATAACCTCCTGATAAGCAACAGCAACTAGACCGACTCGCTGAGTAGCATGCAAAGTAAAAGGGGACTGTGGCGTGTTTCTACTTTATACCAATTTTTTTTTACTACCCTTGCTGAATATATCGTTATATGCATCAGCATCCACGCATGGATGCATTTGGCCAGCGCAGTGGGATGAACAACAATAGGCCCATCGCTGTTATATATTTCGCAGGTAGACATATTTCATCCCTGTGGGCCTCTTTCTTTTATTCTTAATACTGTGATATGAACCCACACTACTTTGTTACGTACTCTCTGATTTTCAAAAGCAACAATTTATGAAAGCAGCAAAAGTAGGCTTAGGCGGTTGTACCATGCAAAGGTATTTTAAAAGGCTTAACGATGCATATCTACAGGAGCCCTATTTCTTTTAACAAGCAGAGACCATATTTCACATTAGCTATTGTACCATGTAGAAGCTATTGAAATCGGTGCAGAATACATTTCTATAGCCATGGTACGGAATGTATTGTGTGTAGCCACATAAAAGAAGAACTATTAAATAACGTCCCGTTTGCCATGACCTCTTTCATGAAGAGTTCATGATTATTCTGTTTTCGATACCTGGTGCGATCATGACTCGTCCTACTTCTACCGGAGAGCTGTTCATGAGAGATTTCCCAACCCTGGAGACTTTTGTATTATTGAATAATAATAGCTCGTTCTTATATAGCGCATTTCAGGACCGAAGGCCCTCTCAAAGCACTTTACAGATAAGTTTATTATTAACCCGGTCATTGGATTCAGGCTTACCTGCACACAATGTATGCACATTCTCCACTCCCTGGGGAGCATTCCAGTCAGGCGTCATTTTTACAAGCGCACACTTGCTAACCTAACCACATTAGCTTTCGCATCCTACCGGGTACCCATTCAACACCTGGGTGGAGAGTGGCAAATGAAGATCAATGTCTTGCCAAAGGAATTAGTGCCGCGGCGGGACTTGAACCGCGGGCCTTGTAATCCACAGTCCGGTGACATATCCACTCAACAACAACACCTCTTCACCACGTCAATTATGTTTACAGGGAGCGGCATATATATGTCTATATTTCAGCTTCTTATCACAAAGTCGGGCTAACTCAGACCCGGGAAAACTCGGTCCCTGCAAAAACAGTCAGTTTTTGCAGGTTTAGGGTTAGGTTTAGGTTTAAGGGTAGGGATAGGGTAAGGGTTAGAGTTAGGATTAGGGTCAAATGAAAAAAAGACTGACTGTTATTGCAGCGGGCCGAGATGTCCCGGGTCCGAGTTAGCCCGGATTCCTTATCACATAGAAATACCATTAAGCAATGATTCTATGAGTTCAAGAAGGACGTAGGTATACTTCTACAAAAAGGGCGTTAACTCTAGATCAACGAATAATGCCCTTCTTGCTCTTCACGGATGAAACCATCTGTTTAGAACCGGAATGGCATTAACTATGCAACTGTATAAAGGAGTATCAGGTATAAAATAATGTGATAACAGCCTTCTGGCTGCAAACAGGCCACATCATCATTTTTCCCCCATATTCGGTGACAATTTAACAATTTAACCTACTTTTACTTGAATGGGTTCAGTAAAGATTCCGCAACCCTGGAGCCTTTTGTATTGATCACCCCAAAAGTTATTTTTACTTGAAGTAGTATCGTCTATGTTTAAGGCTTTACATTGAAATATATTTGTTGATTGTGTGGTCAATGCTGGCTTTCTCTATTTCTGTCCCTCTTTTTCTCTCTGTGTATTGTAGTCTCTTTTTATGTGCTTAGATGTTTATTTATCCCTTATACTATGTACTTGCCCTAGTGATTTTCTATCAATAAGCCTCTCTCTCTCCCTCTCTCTCTCCCCCCTTCTCTTTCTCTCTCCCTCTCTTTCCATAGATTATACTTTTATTTGTTCTCTCTCTGCTTATGTTTATTCATCATTGATGTACCTGTCTTTGTGCTCATATATATGTTTGTCTACAGGAATGTCTCCGTCTGTGTTTCCATCTGTCTAGTCTAGTCTCCCCTCCCTCTGGCTATCGGTATTGTAAGTATCCTTTTTATCAACTTTAGATGTTTCATTATCCTGACTACTATACACCTATCCTACCTATTTAGTGATTCCCTTTCTCCCCCCCCCCCCCTCGACCCTCTCTCTCTCTCTCTCTCCCTCTCTCTTCTCTCTCTGTCTCTCTCTGTCTCTCTCTGTCTCTCCCTCTGTCTATTTGTATGCTCCCCTTCTTTCTCTGCCCCCTCTATTGGTCTCTTCATTTTTCTTCCCTTTCTCCCCCTTTCATATCCCCCTTCCTCTCCCTCCCTTCCTTTCTGATCCCTCCTCCTCCTTCCACCTCCCCCCCCCCCCTAATAATACCCAAACACAGGACACCTACAGATAAAGCAACCATCTGGCATGCAAGATTGCACAAACATTTTTGCTCCCTCTCCCTCCCTCCCCTTCCCTTCCTTACCACCCTCTCTCTCCCTTTTCCGTCTCCTATCCCTACACTTCCAGAAATGGCAATCATCAGGAGTGCTAGGGGTACTTGCACAAACACTTTTGCTTTCTCTGCCCCAAACCCCTCCCCCATACTTACAGATACTAATCAGCCTCCCCCCCCCCCCCCCCCCCCATCATACCCCTATACTTACAGATATAGCGATCATCTGGCATGCTAGATTGCACATACATTCTCCTTCTCGCTGCTTGCCCATCAACAAATACTGCATTGTCTGGAGAAAAAAAACAAGAAAAACCCAGACAAACATGAATTATCATTCATATAACAGACTATTTATTCAGGAAGAAAACAAATATATCCATAGATATATGCACGAGCAGTATGAGGGAGAGAGAGAGAGAGAGAGCAGAAGAGACAGAACTTGAGCATACTATACAAATATTTACTTCTCATGACAATTGTGAAACCCATGGCGTGGTTCACATTGTCATAATCAGTTGTTACATCAGATCATGTATATGCTGTATATGACTTTGGGGATCACGGTAAAAGTATAGTCTCCCCTCCAATCATTTTTTATTAGCTCCTAAAATGACTTCATATTTGATTATTGTGATTATTTAATTCAGGTTTAGACAGGTAACTGTTGACAGCTAGTTACACCAGCAGTTCCTGCAAAGAAAATTAGTTTGTTGCTGCTCAGATGATGTTATGTATCACTCATCTACTTAAAAAAAAGAGAGAAGTAACTAGACATTTCTAACCCCCTGGGTATCTGTTTTTACTCCCAGCCCTACATCTAGTAATACTAATAAACCATTCTTGTCACATAACGATATAACATCCCTAGGTGCTCCAAATGAATTTGCAGGTTATTACCCTAGGCTGGCTTTAAAGGGGTGTAGCATGGCAAATACTGGTTAACGTCATCTACGACTTCTTTGGACAACTGCACGTAAACAAACAGACTTGATTAACGGTCAGCCTACGCTAGTGTTCGAGAATCGGACCAAAGAAAATACTGTGGTCGCGTCGTCCTTAGTTGTATCATACTTGATCAGCCTTGAGTCAGGCCATGGAAATGACACATAGTCTCGTCATGCTACACCCCCTTTAACTCTGGCAGCTGACATCATTGCACAGAGCATTTCAAGGAATAAATCTTGCCAGGTACCCATTTAACACCTTGATGGAAAGTTGGGCTGGACTCCGGAGAGTGGCAAATGTGGATTAATGCCTTGCCAAAAGACGTGAATGCCGAGCTGAGTATTGAACCTACACCCTTATTAAATGACGAGTCAAGTGAATGCTTCATCTCTTAATCTATTCACCCACAACTATGGACTAATCAGAACAAGCTATCTACATGTACATGGTTTTTATCATGAGACGTGAATGCCGAGCTGAGTATTGAACCTACACCCTTGGGGGAGAGTCAAGTGAATGAACCACTTTACCATGACACCTCTCCATCTAATCACCCACAACTTTGGACCAATCAGAAGAAGCTATCTACATGTACATGGTTTGTGTCATAAGAACCAGTGAATGAAGTACTATACCATGACACCTCTAAATCTATTCACCAACAACTTTTGACCAATCAGAACAAGCTATCTACAAGTACACGGTTCATATCAAAAGACGTGAATGCCGAGCTGGGGTTTGAACCTACACCCTTGGGGGAGAGTCAAGTGAATGAACCACTTTACCATGACACCTCTCCATCTAATCACCCACAACTTTGGACCAATCAGAACAAGCTATCTACATGTACATGGTTTGTATCATAAGAACCAGTGAATGAAGTACTATACAATGACACCTCTAAATCTATTCACCCACAACTTTTGACCAATCAGAACAAGCTATCTACATGTACATGGTTCGTATCAAAAGAACCAGTGAATGAACCACTATACCATGACCCCTCTACATCTATTCACCCACAACTTTTGACCAATCAGAACAACCTATCTACATGTACATGGTTCGTATCAAAAGATGTGAATGCCGAGCTGGGGTTTGAACCTACACCCTTGGAGGAGAGTCAAGTTAATGAACCACTAGACCATGACACCTCTCCATCTATTCACCCACAACTTTGGACCAATCAGAACAAGCTATCTACAAGTACATGGTTCGTATCAAAAGATGTGAATACTGAGCTGGGTTCGAACTTATACCCTTAGAGCAGAGTCAAGTGAAAGAACCACTATACCATGACACCTCTACATCTATTCACCCACAACTTTGGACCAATCAGAACAAGCTATTTACATGGTTCATGTCATCTCCATGAAGCCAGAAGGGCATTAACCCTAATCAGTTTTGTCATTAACCAACTGCCTGCTGGCACCAGTTGGCTTCTGTATCAAAGCCTATGGGAATGGGAGAGTTCAGTAGTCAAAGACTTAATGCTTGAATGGCTCTCAGCAGTAAGGCACTGTAAAAATGGCATGCAAGTCTACTATGTATGGTGCATGAGCTGTGAAAGATAAAAGTCAGTTAGTAAATGAAAATGATAAGAAAATAACCAAAATTATCAAGAAAGATTGAAAGAAGAACATGAAGTGCAGATGGATGCAATATCAAGGAAATGATAGAGAAGGAAAAGGGCCAAGGGACACATATTGAGAAGGCAGACAGCGAAAGACAGAGAAACAGAGAAAAATAAAAATGGTGAATGCCACGGAGAAATTGAGAGAGCCAATTGGGGTAAGAGAGAGGGAGTGAGAAGGAGAGAGACAGAGAGAGACAGAGAGAACAAAAGAGAAAACCAATATCTGGCAAGAGTACAATACATAGAGAAAGAGAAAAGAATGGAAAAAGAATGGAAAGAGAGAGGGAAAGGAGGGTTTTAAAAGCAGGTCAACGGAAACAGACAGAATCAGACAGACAGTATTCAACTCCTGAATAATGCATTTTTCAAGGCCGCTATCTACACAATACAAACAATTGTCACAAAAATAGAAATCAGCTCAATTCTCTGGTAGGTGCCTATACACAATAAAGGCTGGTTAGTGGTTAGACAGCATAAACAGTGCCCCCAAAACACAAAATTATGTTCTAGTTCAAATAAAACTTTATTCTTGAAAAAAAAGAGCTATCTACATTCTACAGCTCAACTTCAAATTTGTGTACCTTACAAATCATGTTAATATTAAAGTAAGCGAGTAAACGTAGGACCGTTACATTTACGTTTGCCATTCATTTAGTACACACAAGCTGTCGTGGTAAAATGCCACAGTTAAAATTACAAGAACAAGCCATAACAGAGGTCTGGTTAGTCCAGATTCTGTCAGTTTATATTTCAAATTCTTCAACCATCTATGTCTTCCTCTCTTTAACACCCATCTCACACAGATCGCGCTAGCCAACCCCCCCCCCCCCCCCCCCCCTCCAAAAAAAAAAAAACAGTCAAGGAAAGAACGAAAGGCAAGAAATGTCTCCGTTTTAGTGTTGAGGGTGTGTTATTTTCTCAGCTGATTTGGGTGCGCGGCACAGAAATAGTCCAGGCAGTCCAGGTCTAAAAAGTTTCACTCTGGAGTCTTAGTGGCCACCTCTCTATGGAGGTCACCTGTCCGATAGTGGCCATGGGTTTTGTCTCCCTTAACTAGGTGGGGCTCAAGTTGTTGACCTTCTCGTGGTGAACCCTGTTAACTGGCGGAAGTCAGGCGAACGACAACAACCAGAGTTAGTAGTGTCCCTAAACTAGGTAATGTGCGTTGTAGAACCTGTCTAGAAAGGCCATCTGTCTGCGGTGGCCATTTCTAAGTTTCCCTTGGGTGGCCTTAATAGCCAGGTTTGACTTGACTGAATGCAGATACTGAGAGTGCAAAAAAATTGCTCCCATCCCTAAATGGAATAAAATTTCAGTTTTTCTTTAAGTCCCTTCTCCCTTTAAAAATAACGTTAAAGGTAATACAAAGTTTTGGTATTGGGTCATGAATTTGGTTCAAATGAACATATTGGAAGCATATGCGACCCTACAATATTCAGGGATCGTTGTCGCAGTTGAAATCGATCCTAAAGTTATGAAATTATAAATAATAAACTCCTTATGTTGTATAGCTCCCTCTCCAGGTCAATATATTAATTAGGCTATAAAACAATGTTTCTTGACTAAAATCGACCGATTAGCTATTCCCGTTTGGAAATTATATATCACAACTACATATTCTGAAAATTTCATGGTCGCAGCTACCATTGTACGGCCGTACGGCGCTATTTGAAATTTATCAGAATTTACCGGGAGCACCGGTAAATTTTTATATTCAATTTTTCTCGAAAGCAAATTGTTTTAGGGGCTAAATTTTCTAGTGATTTTATAACATCCACAGGGGCATCCAAATATATCAAAATTGAAAAGAATCACCACCATCCAACTTTCAAAAATTCCCAAAACTTTGTATTACCTTTAAGGGTCCATTAGAAGTTGGACTGTCAGGGCACATACACATAAGACTATACAATGTAGACTCTATTGAAAAGAAGTTTTAAACAGAGTACAAAGTTCAGAGAGATGCATGCTATACCATTGCTATAAATATAGCGTTATTGTGAATAAGTGCCCTGCACCTACCTACATGCCTATTGATCGTATCAATACGATGTGATAGCTACCTGCACATTAACAATGTGCCAAGATAGTCTATAGAAAATGAGAAAAAAAATACTATTGTATACATTTTTTCTACCATATCTCATACACTTCAAATGAAGTACTCATAGAGCAATATGTTTGTACGTGTAGAAATTACATGCCTACACAGCATTGCTGGTGTAATGTGCTTTGTAACTTGTTTGGGCTGTTGTTGAAAAGAAAGCCATATTGCGTGACAGTATGGAAAAGATTCATTTAAAAAAAATAGAATTTAATTAAAATGTACGCAGTATAATGGCCTGTCTAGGAATCATACACTTTAAAAATCACACCTAATGCTATTTCTTGCTCATTATTCAATGAAAGTCAGGATTTATGTCTTTTTTCCTGAGCATCTGCACGTTTGTGAGAAACTTTATTGAAAAGACACAACATACGCATTAAACAACATCTCATTACCAGGTACATACATGTACTACTTATTCCTTGATTATAAGGCTGTGCACAACCGTGTAATGAGGTATCCGAGTACACTCCCAGGCTTACAAGCGAAAACTCGAATATTCGGACGCCATGTTTTTTTTTAATTTACATTTTTTTAATTTTTAATTTTTAATTTTTTAATTTTTTGTTGCCACAGGAGCAGTATCCCAGGTTCGTCTCCAAAAACTCAAGCAATTTTACTTCGAGTTGCCGTGTGGGTACTCGAGCATTCGACTACTCGTCGCAGCCCTACTTGATTATACCTTCTTTTTTTTTGGGGGGGGGGATACGCACTACATGTTTATGATGCAAGGATAGTTGGTGTTTGCCAAAGAATGAAAATAGCAATTTAACATTTAAAACATCTTTGAAGCACTTATCTTTTCTGTTAGTACTGCTTTTCAGCACAATACTTTACTACAAGCCATGCTTGGTCCATGGCACAGCTGTAATAGTCTATATAGACCAAAATACAAGTGACTTGCACTAGTCCATAATGATAGATATGGTAAGACCTCTCTACAAGACAGAAAGAAAAATGAAAGTCTTCTCCAATCCATAGGGTTGGCTAAAATCTCACATGAGATAAGGATGGCCAGACTGATATCAGGGGAAAAAATTGTGGGGGCTACTTTTCAAGCTTGCTTGCATGAAAATAACACTCTTTAACTTGTTTTGCATTGAACTCTATGCAAATTTGGGGGGCTCTTTTATGACTTTCGGGGGCTCTTTTGGGCATTTCGGGGGCTCATTCGCCCCCAGCCCCGTGTATTTTTTCACTGACTGATATGGTATGATCACGAGTACATGTAACATCCGTGTACACGTCGCAGGCTTAGCTAGGATTTAGGAGGGGAATAAACTTCCGGCTTAGAGATGGACCATACCAACAATGAAACATCCAACCCACAGCATGGTATTGGCTGTTTAATGCCGATGATCATGATGCCCTACTCTACCATACAGGTTGTATGACCCACACATCGCCGCCAATTACTCTATAGTTAATTTTCAACACCAACCAAATTTCTAACTTCACCCCTGCAACCACCCTCTCAGTGTTGTAGGTGGCCCTTTACTGCATTTAGCCCTGGTTCATTTTGTAGTACCGGTACATTTGATAATTGTGTACTGTGAGGTTTGGGATCTACAAAAATAATATATACAAGATATTGGCTCAAGCTTGCCTGGAAGCACAAACTGGTAAAAAGGCTGCACACAGATATGAGTACATGCGACTACACAAACATGTGGAATCCAAGATCAAACCATACTTTCAAATTATATAATCAGTTATATTTGGAATACGTGGCAATTTAAGAAACATGTGACATTGCTACTTGTTTTCTTCGACATAATAAGAATAATAGGAATAAAAAGAAGCTCACATATTATTTTGTTACGTTTACTGGAAACCACCCTTCTCTTAAAGTTTGTCAGTACTAGTTTACAGAAGGGATTAGACCACCCAGCCAGGTCACTGACAGGTGGCTATCTCATTAACTCAGCTCTCAACTAACATAAGAAAAAGGGATCAATGGTCACCGATTAGGCACTGTTTGTTGTATAGAGGGCGCAAGTAGCTACAAGTAGTGCAGTGGGCCTTTAAAACTCACCTTGCAGAGCCGGACTAGATCTGGCCTCACATTCTGACTCATCTCTGCTGCCCTCTTCTGCTACTTTCTCATTTGAACTTTGACCTTCTGACGCCTTCTTGACCTTGGGTGAAATTTGGGCTATCTGCTGGTGGACGTATCTGAGATGGATGGCCAGCTGGCCGGGCCCAGAAAACTCATAATTGCATAGGTGGCACAAGGAAGATTTGATTTCTACAAACAAAAGGGTAAACAAAATTATCATAATACGGTATAGTATACCACTCACAGACTTTCGAGCCAAAAACAGTAACTGTTGCAACATGAAGAAACTTTGTGAATTTGTATCAACAGCAATTTCATTCATTCACATGACCAGATGTGTGGCAAAAAGGAAAATGTTTGAATCGCTTCCTGAATATTTAGGACTATTACATGCACAGGTAGATGCAGGATGAATAATAAAACAATGAGGTGAATAAGACCCCCAAAAATTGTTTTCATCTTCATTTCTTTTTCCAGGAAGGATACAGATATTTTTAATTCATCATGAACAAATATAATGAAAAGGACCTACATTTCTGGGAAATGAAAATCATGTCTAACATGCTTTTATAACTTTTGTTCTTAGTGATCCCTTTACAGTACTTACAGTCACAAGTGTATAGAAATGGGGAGACACACAAAGTCCTTACATTTAGTTTCTCTCGCCTAAATGTGTTAGTGAGAAATAGTGATTCAAGGGGGGGGGGGAATGCTATCTTTAATTCGTTTTGGGCAGATGGGCATCGTTTCAAAAGATAGTCATAGGTACAATTTCACAGACATCCCATTAAAATAATATGTGCTAAATTTAATGCAAACATTTCAAAGGATTGTTGGCAAGCTTGTACTAATGACGAATCTGTGGAATGCTGCCCATGTCTTTAAATACATGTGGTTGTCGAAGAAAGTTTAGTCCCTTCCATGCCAACTGAATTACCAGTAACTACTGTAAATTTTCAAGATCAAAATATCCATTTTCTATTCCTTGTTTTATGGGTGGATCTTCCACAAAGACAATCTGATGAAGGTATAACCAGCTTTATATTCTGGGCGAAAGATTTCAGCTTAACGTTGCCTCAGATTCTGAAACAAAATCCTGGATTTAGCTCATGCTGCAATGATAATTATTAACCTTTACATGTAGGTCAGTCAGGGACCCCATGACTGTCTGATTATCAAGATATTTATGATTGGAAATCGAAACCAAATTTTGCGCTTTCCTAACAGTTTCCATAACAGTACAGTCTATTAAGAAAATAAGTAAGGTAATACCGGTCACTGAAATATTTTTTTACTTTTTTGAGGCACTTCTTGATCATTTTGAAGCACAATTTTTTTAGGGCTTCAATATTACACCATATAAAAAAAAACTGATAACACATAGGGCCATGCATCTCAAATTTAACATTGTTAAACGATGCCTTTAAACAGCAAGTTGAAGAGGATAAATGGTAACTATACCTGTAATTAAATTATCTGCTTGATTCATTTGTTCTCCAGATTGTTCTTGAGGCAGGTCTCTGAGGTCTTCAAGGTCTTCTGATAATCTTCGTGGAGATTTCTGCTTGCGCCGACCAGACATTTCCATCTCTTGAATTCATTGATTTCTTTCTGAAAAAGAGAAGTGGAAATTTCATCATTTTAGGATGAGGGGGATTGTTGGCGAAATTGATATGTTTTTAATGTTTCAAATTCTGTAAAATTCATTTGTAATTTAGCTTTTGGCTACAATGAGTGAATAAAATACCTTGAATTGAAAAAGTGAACCATGAATTACCAGTTTCTTTTCACTATCCTATCCTTTTGAACATCCAATATAGCAGGTATATCATTAGCAGGTATGGCTCAACACTAAGAAGCACTTGGACATCCACATGGGCACCGAACATCAAAAATTAAGCCCAAGACCCCGATTATTTTGATATTTTTAAATAAGGTTCATGCAAACAAGACTATTAAAAAAAGACCACCTTCCTTCTTGACAGCTACGGTACATGTAATCCAACAGGTAAATGCCATGGTACTGAGGAAGAAATTTTCAAACTTGAGATTCTGAAGCATCAGTGTTAGAATAGGGCTTGTCTTCTTCCTGATGATCAACTTGATCAGCTTTTGACACAAATAATTGACAGGTCTGGTGCCCGGCCCCTCACTCCGGGAACGGGGGACCGCATGCATGTTAAAAAAATGTCCGGTAAAGGGGTACTTTTCACGCAGCAAAGTCTGGCTTTTAACACACAAAAAATCGGCCCGTATTGACTTTACACACCAGACTTAGGGGGGGGGGGGGGGGGGGGGGGGTGTTTTTCAAAAGGAGGGAACATGCATACGTGTACCCTAAATAACACTGAGTGGGGGGTGGGTGCGGGGTCTGGTGTCAAATAACTTGTATTACTGCCTATCATTTAAAGCTTTGTGTTGCTATTAGGGAGCAAAGCTCTCGTGTGCAGGAAAGTGTCATTAATATTTAGAAAATACAAGGATGAACTGGGCCAAAGAAAAAAAGTGCCAGTATCACATATAACATGATTAACCTTCGAGTGAATTTCTATATTTTGGATTTTGGGGCAGCACGTGTTTAAAAACTTGATTTTAAAAGGAGATCACTGGCTACCACGGTACAAAAAAAACACCCTCAAATTTCAATTGATCAAGTTGACAGAAATCTCATCTACAAAATGTTTTTTAACTTATAAAGAGCGTTTTCAAATCGGAAAAAGGTGATTTTTCCATAAATTTTGCTAATTATTTGGGCATTTATGATTATTTAGAAGGGCGTGTGACTGGAAAATTTCAAGACTAAAATCTCTAGAAAAGATGGGCTGGGATGTGATGTGCCCGTGACCAACATTCTCACTGTTTCAATTATTTCCACAGCACAGACAATGAATATTCAATGGCGTTTGACTCCATGGACACTAGAAATCGCGGTAACTCAATGAATGTTAAAGATAAACTTGAGTTCTGGTAAAAAAAGAAAATGAATTCTCACAGAATCTAACGAAACTTACACTGCATGTTCAAGATTACAAATAAATGTCATGTGCCAAACAATTTTGGAAGAAAATGTATACTGGCTGAGTAATGAGCATAGAAAGATAAGGAAATCAGGGTAGTACTAGCCCTGACACCATGTGTGTTGTCCCATACACACCTTTCTGTGTAAGTGATTGTTACTTTACCAAGACTCTGCCAAATTTATGATGATTTTGATGACTCCAGAACCTTGCATTACACACCATTACTTACATGCTATATGATTAAATTTTCTGATCCATTCCACACCTTTTCTTTCACAATGCAATCACATTACCAGTACTCAAGTTTATCTTTAAAATAAGAACAGGAAACATTTTCTTGTCATCATGATCAGGAAAATCTGAAATTACAAGGTTTATCACGCCCACTCTAGACTGGTATTCCTTGATAAAACTGACATCTGTTTACCTTCCCAATACACAGACGGCAACCCTTGCAACATGCACAAGGGAGGGGGACTAATTAGTGAATTTTCAACGGAATGCATAAAAAAAGTTTGCCCTCTGTTTTTCTTTATCTAGACTCGATGGAAAAATAATTGGTCTTAATTGAAGCAAAAATATGAAACGGGTCAGTGAAAGTTTGAGCAAAACCCACTTAAAAATAACAAATATATGAATATTTGAATGTGCCATCAATCAAACACAAACTAGCTAATCTGTGGCATATCTATAATCTTGCAAGGTCCCCTCCCATCTCATCTGCCCTTCAAAAATTTACACTTTCCATTAAGAAAATGTTCAATCATACATTCACCCTATATATAATTACCAGTACTGCAAATATGTTTTATACAATCCCTGTATGAAACAAGTTTATTCTGTCATCAATAACTAAGAAAAAAGCAATTTGGAGGAGAGCTCGCAGGATACCTCACAGTGTTCTCAATTTGTGTTTCGCTGATGATAACTTCAAAAACTTACAACTTCCCTATCGTAATTGGATATTGCTCAACTTTCACTAGTTGTATGCTACTGATGTACTATCATTTTTCTGCTTTTATTACAACCAAGATAATATCAAAGTGGACTTCTCCTTTAACAGTTTGATTTAGAAAAGATGATGATTAGAAATAAAATAAATCTAACTTAGATATAATATAAAAGAAAATCATTGTAAAACATAAAAATATAAGGACCGACTTAGAGCTAAACTTTCAATTTTCATGAAGCTACTTGCGTGAAAAAATTGGCCATCACAAAAAACTGCATTGCGTAACCTCCCTTCATTAACTGTACTTTGTACTTCAGTCTCAGTATACGTATAGAGGCGGTCAGTGGAGCCCGACATAGTCTCAGCGGACTGATGAGACTGAAGTTAGTGATTAGTGAAGCTTTCCATCTAGACTCGTCTCCAGTCCAACTTGATCTTGAAGTAATTCTCCCAAATTCATGGAATTTAATTAAATACCCACCCCAAACATAATTCATGAACATGCAACAGATAATCATAAAGAAAACTTGAAAATTTCAGCACGGTTAATGGTTATCACCAATCACTGCACTGCAAAGCTCCGCAGTTGTTCACATGTACTTATTGCAATCTCACTTCGGGTATGAATGGAATTGCCATTTCCCGTTCTTCAGTCATGTATGACTGTATACAGCTGTGCACGCGAGACACAGATCGATGATGCCTCTCCAACGAACTGCCACTGGCACAGTGCACTCTTCAACTCAACTCTCACTTATTCACGCGTATCAACCCTCAATTATACCATTTTATCATTCATATCTCACGAATCAGATTAAAAATCACATACTGCACCTTTTACTCTACCCAGCTATGCAGAAGAGACTAAATTCGGTTGAATAAGGCAGCCTTTGTTCGCTTTTCTCCCCATCTTTTCGTTCGCGGAGGCTCCGTAAAGTTTACATTATATTTCGCGAAATTTGACCTCTTTCCAATTGACTTTCCGGGTCGTGCCTTTTGGGTGACCTCAGGGGGAGAGCAACCTTTCCTCCAGGGGGTATAACACTGCAGCGGGTGGTCCGTTGCTAGCCATCGACAAACTTTCGACCAATCGCAGGCCAGGGATGAATGCATATTTTATCAGTCCAGATCAACGAGCCATGGAAAAAGGGAGCTATACCCGAATAAAAAAAGGGGATTGATTTGAATGTAAGGGATTAGATTATAGATATTAGCTCTTTTGCTAATCAATAGATGATTAAAAAGGGCTTGTCAGACAAACTAAATGACAGGAAACATATCACAATGGTTATGCTTTTGTTACTCTCACATTTATATCATCTGCATATATTAATTGAAAGAAAAGAATATAATCTCCCTCTCTATATACCTCTCTCGACCCCCCTTGAGCTCTAACAAAACACAATTTCGATAAATAGAAGGGTTCACATAATATTCGACATGAATTGGTGTTTTTACATGTCTCTACAATTTAAGCAAATAATTTATGATAACTGCATTAGACAAAACTATGGTTGCACAAAACATCATCAGTATTAGCTGGCTACCCCCCCCCCCCCTCCTAATAACGTCTCTGCCGCTTCATTCTCCGATAACCCCCCCCCCCCCCCCCCCCTCTCTCTCTCTCTCTCTCACACACACACCTACCCTTAACTACATTGTGTGACGCTATCTGAACTTTTCCTAAATTCCAATTGTATGAGTACAATACTATATTCGTGGTGTTGGACACGCTCACAAATAGCCGAGTCGACCGTTGTGACGTAAGACACTCATATTGTTGAATGCGCTAATCAATATTGCGCGTGTTCGCTGACCCGGCCTAATTTATCCGACTTCAGGCAATTTCAATTGTGACGTAGGACGCTTACATTAGTATTAACGCGCTTGAAACCCGCGCATGCTCGCCTGGCTTTTGCAAAGTTCGCTGACCCGGCCTAATTCATCCGACTTCAGCAAATTCCAATTGTGACGTAAGACGCTTACATTGTTTAGCGCGCTTGAAACTCGCGCATGCTCGCCCGACTTTTGCAAAGTTCGCTGACCCGGCCTAATTCATCCGACTTCAGCAAATTCCAATTGTGACGTAGATCGCTTACATTGTTTAACGCGCTTGAGGCTCGCGCATGCTCGCTTGGCTCTTGCAAAGTTTTGTGACCCGGCCTCCTTTGATGCCGATTATGACGTAAACGTTTGGATTTTCGAAAACGCTTAGGCCATGCGCCCATGCTCGCCTTTAACTCAAAGTTCGCTGACACGACCTAATTTATCTTACACCATCGATTGTGCATGATGTCTTTATATTCTATGTAAACTATTGATAAAGCAAAGGGCAACTTTATTGAGACGGGGCGGAGAGATTTATCTTCGGACTTCTGGACTATCCAACTACCACACGACCTCCAGACCCATTCCAAGTTCTTGTTTAATAATGTCTCCGTCTCTCTCTTCCCCTCTGTCTCCCTCTCCCTCTCTCTCACTGTCTCTGTCCCTCTCTCTGCCTCTCTCTCTCTCTCTCTCTCCCTCTCCGTCTCTCTGT